TCAATCTTCTTAATGCGCGAGTAACAATCGGCGACGATAACTCGCCCGCCACGGGGGATGATTAACGACGAGCCGCGCCGTTATTTTTCAACCAATTTATCCGCTCTCCAATTTCTCGGCCGTCGAACGACTTCTGGCTAAATAACGCGACCGTCCACCCACCGCGAGATTTATGCGGTGATGAAAGATTTCGAGCGCGAATTAGTGGGCCGCGATAAACTTCCCATCCCAGAGTTCTCCAGAGTTTTTATTTCAATTCAATTTCGATCGATCTGTAATCCAACAAATTTGGGTATTATTTAGTATCGTTCAGTAGTAAGTAGTATGAGCGAACTTTCGGTTTTCTTTGGGTTAAAATTAGCGTGAAATACGAAAGATTGTCGATGCAAGATTGTTGTACATATTTGTGTATTTTGATGGCTCGTGGAAATTTGAAAGTTCGAGTTTCGAGTTGTTTAAGTGAAATATTCGAACGATACATTTATGAGGCGGAGGTCTGAGAAGTTTTCATTGTATTTGACTTTTTTTAAATGAATGGAAGTTAAAAGAACCATGGAAGTTAAAAGAGGTTAAAGGTTAATTATTGTGAATGATAGATGGTCATGAGTTAATAAGATTTTGAGTAGTACGCGAAAAGATATCTTGTCAGACATGTGCAAACAAAAATTCATGATATTTTTAAGGGAAATTGAAGTTTTATTTATTTAATATTTTATTATTTTTATAAGTAATGTAAATTATCATGAAAGAGATTGTATTATATAGTAAATATTAAATAACGTTGAATATTTGATAAAATGAATTTTGTTCTATCTGATTGTCATAAAGTGTCGCGAAAATGCTATAAACGTCACAATTTTAGTACTTTCGTACTTTAAATTGCTTGTGCCAAAATTGTGTCACAATGAATCAATTTACACGTCTACTCGTATTTAAATTATGTTATAATAAAGCAACGAAATTACAAATCAAATGTTGTCATCACGTGTAATCTTCTTCGATATTAATTTACTCGAACTTTGAAGTAGACAAGTCGCGTTATTGGCAAACGAGGAATATTTATCGAAAAGCTCGACAAAAGCTGGCAAAAGTTCAAGCTCCTTCCGCGAATTCGTCTAGTATTCCATTGTGATATTCCTCTTACGATAAATATAATGAGTGAATAGTACGTAGATAAGAAAGTCCATAGTGTTAGTCTTTTAAATCCTGATTATTGGAAACTTTTTTGGAATTTTATTTTAAAATTTTGCAAGATTTAAAATTTAAATTAAATATTATTTTTCTTCGGTTTGGAAACACAAAGCGTGAATTAAGCGAAAAGTGATTTCGT